GGAGACAGACAGAGAGACAGAGAGAAAGTGAGAAATCACCCCCAGAGGCTATGGCTACACCACAGTCCCTTCTCCATTCTCCTCTTGGGATTTTGGGCACACATGTACCCATGCCTAGTGTGATTTTCAAGCTGCTGGGTTCAGGACTTGAACCATGGTTGGCCATGTGGGAGTCAAATGCCTTAACCACCATGCCACCTGCTGGGCCTGGTCTCTTAATTCTTATTCCTGTGTTTATGGACTTTTTTATTTTTTTTTTGGAGAGATTTTCACTGTAGGGCGCGTGCGCTCGCCAGACAGATAGAGATACATAGAGACAGAAAGCGAGAAATCACCCCCCAGGGGAGATGGTCACGCCGCAATCCCTTCTCCTCCATTCTCCTCTCGGGATCTTGGGCACGCACGCACACGCGCCCGGTGTGAGTTTTAAGCCACCGGGTCCAGGACACGAACCGCGGTCGACTACGTGGGAGTCCAGCGACATAGCCATTACGCTAACTGCTGGTTCCCTTTATGGACTTTCTTAATGAAAGTAAAAATGTTCTAAGACAGTCCTTCTCTTTTTAAAATAAGATTAAGAAACAAGACTAATAAGCTTGTAGGAAATAGAAATATTGAACGGTGAACAATGTAAAGAAAACTGAAAACTTAACAACTCTCCTGCCACATAAGAGTTCTGTTAATATTTTGGAGCATTTCCTTCTGGTTCTTTCTCTTTGTATACTTTTCTTTTTCTTTCTTTTTTTTTTTTTAATTAGAGATTTTGGTGTAGGGTGCATGAGCTTGCCAGAGAGAGAGAAAGCGAGAAATCATCCCTTCCCCAGAAGTGATGGCCATGCAGGAATCCTTTCTCCTTCATTCTTCTCTCGGGATTTTGGGCATACATGCATACACACCTGGCATGAGTGTTACGCCCCCAGGTCCAGGACTCGAACCATACTTGACTATGTGGGAGTCCAGTGACGTATGTATTATGCCATCTGCTGGTCCCACATAAACTATTTCTTATGAGATTATAACTGTGTAGCTATCTTGTGTGTAGATGAGTTAGCCGATTTTTTAAATGTTACTTTAAGTGCCAATCAATTTTTAATGAAATATTCTTTGAAAATACTATTAATGTATATAAGACATCCTGTCATTGCAGAAGTGCTGTTAATAGTGTTTCTAGTTTGTGCTATTATAAATAATACTGCAGCCACTTTCTGCAGGGTAATATAAAATTTCATTTTGTGTTCTTTCACTAGTCTCTGATAGTACCATCTGTGTATTCTTGCTTATGTTGACTATTACCAGTTTATAAAAATCTTTGCCAATTTGTAAAAGCAGAAATGGTGTATTTTTAAAGTTTTCATATACTAGGCATACTTTACAGTGTAGTCTTTTATATTTCTTTTCTGATTTGTTTATTCGTGTGACACTTTTTTCTCCTTGATTATTTTTAGTAGGTTTATAAGATCTTCTTAAATTTTTTTTTACTATTAAGGCACAGTAGTCCCTGATGAAGTCCCTGTCAAACTTGAGACTTTAAGATTCTTGGCTTATGTCTGTCTGCTTGTTTTATGTTCTGTGCATTTCCTCTGTAGGGTATTTCCAAAATAGTCATCTTCACCAAGGCAGTTTCATTAGGTTTTTAAATTCATACCTGGGATTCTGGCTAGCCTTTACTAGGTCTTCTCCAGTGCTTACCAGAATCAGTAGTTTGACACCTCTTTGATCAATTTCCATTTCTTTTTGAAAGCAAATGACTATGGGTAGTTTGCCATAAACACGATTGCCTTCTGGTTCTTAGTTGCCTGGTGAAAGTCATGCAAAGCAGATAGACAGTGTGCACATCAGAATGAGTGTTGATGTGCCTTTTTTTTTTTTTTTTAAGCCAAGGAATTTTATATTAATTATGAGATACTTTTGATGAACTCGTCAGATCCAGTTTTTGACCTGAACATTTTGAGTCATAGCTTGAGTATATAAAATGTAGTCTGGTTACTCTGCAGACTTTTAAAGGCTCACTTTGAAAGCATGGCCTTTAAATCCACCAGGTAGGTTTGGTTCCTAAAGTCGTTCCTGGAGACTAGTGTGTGCCCGGTGTTTCTGATGTTGGGCAAGACGTGCCATCACATCGTACTGGCGTCTCTTAGAAAGTGGACCCCGTGCTTGCCTCTTGGTTCCTTTCAGGATGCTTCTTAGATGCTTGTTCTTGTTGATCACACTATTCTCTTATTCCTTGTGTCATGTTTCACAGGTTTTTCTAGTTTATCATTTGATAATCTCCTTATGGTATATTATGATGTACAGAAATTTAAAAATTTATGCAGTTAATTCTTTCTTTAATTTTTATTGCTTTTGTGTGATAGCTCTTGCCTAGGTAGTCTTAACTGTAGTATAGACTTTAACAGTGTTTTCCTTTTTTTTCCTTTTGTTTTTATTTTTTTTTTTAGTTGCAACTACTGGCCCTACAGTATATTATAGTCAGTCACCAGCATATAATTCCCAGTATCTTCTCAGACCAGCAGCTAATGTTACTCCCACAAAGGTAACAAAGGAATAATTTATACCTTTATAAGTATCTCCTTTCTAATTGTTCAGGCTTCCTTCAAAGAGATTTAGGGGAGTAGTTCAGTATTAAAACTTACATGTCCCTTAAGACATGTTTTAAATTTCTTTCTAGATACAGAAGTTGTACTTCTTAATTATCTAATTCTTTTTGTTACCATAAGTATGAATATTTAGAATATTTTTAAAAATTGTGAGTGGTGCTGGCATTGGGTCAGTCCCCATTCTATTTTGACAGAAATAGGACTAGAGTGCCTTTGTCGAACCACTCTATGGTAAGTACTACTAGGCCTGATGTGGCTATATTACTATTAAGACCCAATATTAAAACAGTAGTTAAACATGAAGGTTGTGAGGCCAGAGGGTTGGGGTGTGTAGACCCTTGTCCTTAGCTTATTGTGCTTTGGGCAGATTTCGCTAGAAATTAGTTGTATCATATGTAAAGTGAAAATAATAATACCTTAATTCATAGAGTTTTTGAGGATATTAGAATGAGGTAATATATGTAAAATGCCTAGAACAGTGCCCAGCTAGCACATCAATAAATACTTAATAAGTGTTAGTCTTCTTCTTCATCATCGTCGCCATTATTATTGTTATTACCGTTAACCTCATTTGATAAATTGTTTAGGAATGGAGAAGATACTCACTCTCTGGATTTATTATAGAAGTATATTTTTAAGCTGTCATTAGTGAATTTTTATTAGATGTCATTATCTTTGTAATAATGACGCTCTCTGTTAGTCATGTGCTTTATGCCCTAATGGTATCTTCTCCACCTAATAATACTCATGTTTGAAGTTTGTGAGAATTAGTATATAACTTGTTATCTATAGTTTCATAGATAATCTACAAAATATTTTAACTTTTTTTCTTTTAGGGTCCAGTTTATGGCATGAATAGGCTTCCACCCCAGCAACATATGTATGCCTATCCACAACAGATGCACACACCACCAGTGCAAAGCTCATCTTGCATGTTCTCTCAGGAGATGTATGCTCCTCCTGCGTTGCGTTTTGAGTCTCCTGCAACGGGAATTCTGTCACCCAGGGGTGATGATTACTTTAATTACAATGTTCAGCAGACAAGCACAAATCCACCTTTGCCAGAACCAGGATATTTCACAAAACCTCCTGTTGCAGCTCATGCCTCAAGATCTGCAGAAACTAAAGTTATAGAATTTGGGAAAACTAATTTTGTCCAGCCTATGCCGGGTGAAGGAATAAGGCCATCTTTGACAACACCAGCACATACAACACAGCCAACCCCTTTTAAATTTAACTCAAATTTTAAATCAAATGATGGTGATTTCACATTTTCCTCACCGCAAGTTGTGACACAGCCCCCTTCTACAGCTTACAGTAATAGTGAAAGCCTTTTAGGTCTCCTGACTTCAGACAAGCCTTTGCAAGGAGATGGTTACAGTGGACCAAAACCAATTCCTAGTCAGACCATGGGTCCTCGAAATACATTTAATTTTGGAAGCAAAAATGTGTCTGGAATTTCATTTACAGAAAGCCTGGGGCCAAATCAAAAGAATTCTGGTTTTCGTCGAAATGATGATATGTTTACTTTCCATGGTCCAGGGAAGTCAGTATTTGCAACACCATCTCCAGAGGTGGCCAACAAGAGTCATGAGACAGATGGAGGAAGTGCCCATGGGGATGAGGATGATGATGGCCCTCACTTTGAGCCTGTGGTACCACTTCCTGATAAGATTGAGGTTAAAACGGGTGAGGAAGATGAAGAAGAATTCTTTTGCAATCGTGCAAAATTGTACCGTTTTGATGGGGAATCCAAAGAATGGAAGGAACGTGGAATTGGGAATGTAAAAATACTAAGACATAAAACATCTGGCAAGATTCGCCTTCTGATGAGACGAGAGCAAGTGTTAAAAATCTGTGCAAATCATTACATCAGTCCAGATATGAAACTGACACCAAATGCTGGATCAGACAGATCTTTTGTATGGCATGCCCTTGATTATGCAGATGAATTACCAAAACCGGAACAACTTGCTATTAGATTCAAAACTCTTGAAGAAGCAGCACTTTTTAAGTGCAAGTTTGAAGAGGCCCAGAGCATTGTAAAAGCCTCAGGAACAAATGTAACCACAGCATCAAATCAGACTGTTAAAATTGTAAACGAATCCACAAGTCATGATAATAAGGATATTTCCAAATCTGATGCTGGAAACATGAATTTTGAATTTCAAGTTGCAAAGAAAGAAGGGTCTTGGCATTGTAACAGTTGCTCATTAAAGAATGCTGCAGGTGTTAAGAAATGTGTATCATGCCACAATCTAAACCCAAACACTAACGACTTCCTTGGCCCACCATTAGTTGAAACTGTTTCTGCCCCTAAACCTGGCCCAGAAAACACTCAAGATAGATTCATGTTGATGACTCCAAAGAAAGAAGGCCATTGGGATTGCAGTACTTGTTTAATGAAAAATGAACCTACTGTGTCTAGCTGCACTGCATGCCAGAGTGCAAAGTCTGCCAACAAAAGTGGCTCTTCCTTGGTTCATCAGTCTTCCTTTAAATTCGGCCAAGGAGATCTTTCTAAGTCTGTGAATAGTGATTTCAGATCTGTTTTTTCGACAAAGGAAGGACAGCGGGATTGTAGTGCATGCTCAGTTCGAAATGAAGGAGCCTCTACAAAATGTGTTGCTTGTCAGAATCCGACTAAACCAAGTTCATCTAGTTCTGCTGTTCCAGCTCCTGCCTCTTTTAAGTTTGGTACTTCAGAGACAAGCAAGGCTCCAAAAAGTGGATTTGAAGGAATGTTCCTTAAGAAGGAAGGACAGTGGGATTGTAGTACATGCTTGGTGAGAAATGAAGCAAATGCTACCAAATGTATTGCTTGTCAGAACCCAAGTAAAGAAAATCAGCCTACTTCTGCTATTCCTGCACCTGTCTCTTCAGAGACAAGCAAGGCTCCAAAGAGCGGATTTGAGGGTATGTTCACCAAGAAGGAAGGACAGTGGGATTGTGGCACATGCTTGGTCAGAAATGAAGCAAGTGCTACCGAATGTGTTGCTTGTAAGACTCCAAGTAAACTGAATCAGCCTGCTTCTGTTCCTGCACCTGCCTCTTCAGAGACAAACAAGTCTTCAAACAGTGGGTTGGAAGGAATGTTCGCCAAAAAGGAAGCACAGTGGGACTGTAGTGTTTGCTCTGTGCAGAATGAGAGCTCTTCCTTAAGATGTGGGTCTTGCAGTGCCCTTAAACCTAATGCAGAAGCTCCTTCAGCTTTCTCACTGGGCTTAAAAACAAAGCTGAGTGATGCTTCTGGAAGTCAGCTGGGGACAGGATTCAAAAGTAACTTTGCAGACAAAGGGTTTAAATTGGGCAATACAGAGCAAGGATTTAAATTTGGGCATGCAGATCAAGAGAATGCATCTTCATTTACGTTTCAGGGTTCTTCTAATACAGAATCTAAGTCGACAAAAGAGGGATTTAGTTTTTCCACCCCTGTGTCTGCTGATGGATTTAAATTTGGCATTCAGGAACCTCAAGAAAAGAGTGAAAAGCACTTCGACAGTGACATTGTTTCCCAGGCTCAGGGTGTTAGTAGCCAGAAGAATGGTGGTGCTGTGATATTTGGTCAAACAAGCAGTACTTTTACCTTTGCAGACCTTGCAAAATCAACTTCTGGAGAAGGGTTCCAATTTGGCAAAAAAGACCCAAATTTCAAAGGATTTTCAGGTGCTGGAGAAAAATTATTCTCATCACAAAGTGGTAAAATGGCTGATAAAACCAGTACTTCTGCTGATCTTGACAAAGATGATGACGCCTATAAGACTGAGGATAGTGATGATATCTATTTTGAACCAGTAGTTCAGATGCCTGAAAAGGTGGAACTTGTAACAGGAGAAGAAGATGAAAAGGTTCTCTACTCGCAGCGGGTAAAATTATTTAGATTTGATGCTGAGGTAAGTCAGTGGAAAGAAAGAGGTTTGGGGAACTTAAAAATTCTCAAAAATGAAGTTAACGGCAAACTGAGAATGCTGATGCGAAGGGAACAAGTGCTGAAGGTATGCGCTAACCACTGGATAACAACCACCATGAACTTGAAGCCTCTCTCTGGGTCCGACCGAGCCTGGATGTGGCTAGCTAGTGATTTTTCTGATGGCGATGCCAAACTAGAGCAACTGGCAGCAAAATTTAAAACCCCAGAGCTGGCTGAAGAATTTAAGCAGAAATTTGAAGAATGCCAGCGACTTCTATTAGATATTCCACTTCAGACTCCACATAAACTTGTAGATACTGGCAGAGCTGCCAAGTTAATACAGAGAGCTGAAGAAATGAAGAGTGGACTAAAAGATTTCAAAACAGTTCTGACTAACGATCAAACAAAAGTCACTGACGATGACGAGAGTAAGAGTTCAGGCTCAGGTGCCGTCAGCACTTCGGAGACAACAGTCAAGCCAAGTCCTGAGAACACTGGGCCGGCATTGGAGTGGGATAACTATGACTTAAGGGAGGATGCTTTAGATGATAGTGTGAGTAGTAGCTCAGTACACGCGTCTCCACTGGCAAGCAGCCCTGTGAGGAAAAATCTCTTCCGCTTTGGTGAGTCAACAACAGGATTTAACTTTAGTTTCAAGTCTGCTTTGAGTCCATCTAAGTCTCCTACCAAGTTGAATCAGAGTGGGACTTCAGCTGGCACTGATGAAGAATCTGATGTTACTCAAGAAGAAGAGAGAGATGGACAGTACTTTGAACCTGTTGTACCTTTACCTGATCTAGTTCATGTTTCCAGTGGTGAGGAAAATGAACAGGTTGTTTTTAGTTACAGAGCAAAACTCTATAGGTATGATAAAGATGTTGGTCAGTGGAAGGAAAGGGGTATTGGCAATATAAAGATTTTACAGAATTATGATAATAAGCAAGTTCGCATAGTTATGAGAAGGGACCAGGTATTAAAACTTTGTGCCAATCACAGAATAACTCCAGACATGACTTTGCAAAATATGAAGGGGACGGAAAGAGGGGGGGGTTGGACTGCTTGCGATT